AGCTTGACAAAATATGAAATTTCTCTTTTAGTATTTTATTATTCTCCCTATTGAACGAACTCTAAAAACCACTTCTCAGATGTAAATGATTTTATACTACCCAACTGCTTCGAGAAAGAAAAATATCTAAAATATGAACTGATGGAATATGATCTAGTCAATGGTAAAAGAGTCAACTTTCAATCGAATGTACTTCAAAAGATTCGTTATCAAATATCTCTATATCTATTTGCACCATTGTTTAATCAAATACTTCGACGAAAAATGTGAAAAATATTCAAGTTGGGAACAGTTTTCAAACTGTGCATAGCTTTTGAAAACTCAGTACGTATGATCCACTTGATCTACTAAAAATAGTCGATCAACAGTGTCGAGCATTTCGCTCCGAAAGATCCGCCACTGTATGAAAGATATCCAAGATTAAACTGACTTACAAAGTTTCGCTAAATGTACTAGAAAGACTAACCCCTTTCGTTCCAACATTCTAAGAAAACGCGCTAGATCTTTCGACTCTTGCACTTTCACAAAAGTAATCTACTGGAAGGAGTCTCTCTTTACTCCGATACTCCGAAAAGCTTCGCCATCGAGAAGTCCAATACTCGAAGAAGGGTTCGTTCCTTCCCCATTTGGCGTGAAGAAGGACTCGCAATGAGAAAAGCGAGATAAACAAGCCGTTCTACCCGCGTTGATGGTCCAGTGCCAGGACACCAGACAAAAGCCGAACCAAAGGAAGGGAGGGTGTAGTTCCGCTTGGTGGATTTCCGCTTGGAGGTTCAGTGGCGAGTGGCCGAAAACCGGTAGTCAGCGGTAGGGCGGTGCACGGTAGCAGCTCCTCTTTGGTTGGCTACCGGCGAACGAACGAAGGCTACTGCTCCCTTCTTTATTCCGCCGAGAACGAGTGCACGCACGTCGAGCAAGCTTCTTCTGGTTGGTTCCACTCCGTCCTCTCTTTGATTGGCTGCCTCTTCGTTGGGTGCCCTCCGTCCTTTTGCTCGCGAAGGACTGCGAGCGTAAGCGCGGTGGCCACTTGTCTTCGTCGACAGTCGCTGGACTCCTGGATCCCTTTCCCTCGTGAAACAACGTCCCGGAGTCGAGGGAATACAAGCATGACCTTTCGACCCGAAATTCCCAGTTTCACGAGGGGATTATTACATATTCGAATGACCGACGTCCAATGTCAATGGTTTGCAGTGAAAGTAAATTTCTGTCTTCATTGTCAGTGTAGGTTGGCATAGTTGGAGTTTTAAGTAGCTTGGATGATTCTCAGAGACAGTAGGAAGTAGGTACCTTGTTTCTATTAAGCAGTGATTATGATTCTATATTTAAGTGGTTATTATTAAATCATAATGTTTGGGGGGTGGAATATTTAATGACTGATAAAATTTCGCACCATTTGATGATATTTTGAGCGAATAAAAAATACTTGCTTGTAAAATTTATTTCGATATTAAGTAGTGATTATGATCATTAAATCATAATATTTGGAGATCACCATTATCATAGGTTAACATAATTAATGTTTTAAATAGCTTGGTTGATTCTGATTCTGAAAAACAAGAAGGAATGTTTATTTGTAAAATTTCTTCCGAATATTAGACTACGATTTTCGAAAATGGAATTTTGGAGTCGAATGTTTAACGAGTCATTTGTGGCAGGAATATTCAGGCTAACGTTTTGCGTTTGACGTCTAATTGTTTTCATAATATTTGAAAATTCTACAACGTTAGCGTAGGCTGGCATAATTGGAATTTTAAGTAGCTTGGACGTCTGACAGACAATAGGGAATTACTCGTAAAATTTGTTTCAGTATTCAGAGAGGTTAAATAGCGATTATAGTTATTAGTGGCGATAAATTATTATTTTCTGACGCGCGATGAATAAGATTTTAATGAGACATTAGAAGACATTACAACTGCCTGTAGAGCGTGAGGAAGACATAAAAATTCAAAGTTAAATAGCGAATACAATTAATTCTTACTTCTCTTAAATAATGTAATTAGTACTTACTGCACTTTCTTCAATGGTCCAATTAATAGTCATTACTACATTGTATTATATCCAAAAATTTTGTGACATCAATTTATTATATTTATTTACTTAAAGTGAATATTATTTATTTTCATAAATAATTCTCTACTCTGCCATTCGAAAGTTTGGAGCCTATGCTTTAGAAAACTAAGAATATTGCGATTACAAATTTCAATTCCAAGTAGGTATAATTAATTACTGTTTCAATAAACTAGTACAATTGCATGTCATAAGTGATATATTCCAGCATTTAACGATATTTTTATTTGTAAAACTCTAATATACTCCAAAAGTTTGAGTGCCAATATACTACTCATAAGCAAAGAATTTTCTTTTTATATATATAAGAAAATATTTCACTATTTATATACAGAAATTATATAAAGAACTCGTTAATACATAAAGAAATTTTTCAATATCTACGTTTATAAACGCATTCTTAGAATACCAGTGAATACCATGAATTAATCTTCAGTATTCGTGGCTACCATAGAATTCAGTGGAGTATCGTTAAAAAGTCGGCCACTCCATTACAAGCTAATACTACTTCTTGCAATGGAGCTTAGACTTCAGTAAATCGGCCTTTCCATAGTTGATAAACTCGAAACTGTTTCGAAACTCGTAGCTATCTATAAATTTAATGAAATATCGTTAAAAAAAAAAAATCGGTCATTCCACATTCGGCTAAAATCCCTTAGGATCCAATAAAATAAAGTTAAAAGCTGGTAATTCCATTACTTCGATCCCTCCTCGACGCGAAATTACGCTACTTAAGAGGTAGTTCTTTTTTTCGGCGAAAAAAAAAAGAAAAAAAGAAAAAGAGAGAGAACAAGAGAAAAAAATACAGTATATCCATGCGAATCACGACCAACTGTTTCCACGTTTACCCACGAGGCGGTCCGAAACGATAAAACTTTCGGCGGATGACAAGTACACTTTAACTTTCGTGGGACGTGCCCGTGTTCACCGAGTGAAACACGCGTTTGCATCGGTGTTCTTAGAACGCGGCAGCCTGATCGAATTGCAGCACGCGTGTCTAACAGGATTAAGAAATCTCGGTTGCCCCACGGCCTTAACGCTATAATTGTATTCACCTCACAGGTCCCTAAACAACTCCATTATTCCCTACGATGAATCGAAATCGTATTTTACGATGAAGGACCATGTCCATAAAACACAACGCATAGAAACTGGTATACACACGATTTTTTTTTCTCTTTTTCAACCTTCGAGCGTGCCACGATATTTGATATTTCCCCGAGGGAGGGTGACGACGAAACTCTCGATGACGCGCAGGATCAAAGAGGGATGAGAACGGGACGACATCTGTCTCCTCGTTCTTGTCGTTGTTGTTGTACTTCGTTCAAGGTGATCGAGGATCGCCGATCGATAACGTGAAATTCACCTTTGTACGACTGCGCGATTCGCGTGGGTGTATTCATTCGCGGATACCACCGACGTACTACGCGACCATAACTACGCGTGCTTCCACATACATCGCATTATCATACATTATCATACATTAGCTTTGACCTCTTGATTACCACAGGACGAACTTGGCTACATTGTGCCTGACGATCTTTAGCTTCTGCTAAAATTGGCTTCCAGCGACGTGATTGACATTTTAAACGAGCACTCCTCTCTTTTTTTTTCTGGTAAAAGAAATTAGAAATCGGAGGAAAATTAAGAAGAGAAAAGGAAGGAAAAGTCGATGTAAAAAGTTAACGCAGAAAACGTTAATCGCGTTTCTTCATTCAGAATTTATAGGACTAACAAGAAAAGAGGAAAAATATACGTATGTTTCTAGAAGACTATTAGTTTAATCGACAGTGGAAGGATTGGAAGAATTAATATATCAAATACAGGGATAAATTTATGTTCTTCTGAATGTC